ACTGTTGGTGCGTGTTGACTCGTTTCGGAATGTGGTAGAGCCAATAGGTAATGATATATGTGTTTACACACGTGGGATCGTTGAAGACAATGATCTGTCTGAGTGGTGGTTATGGTAGTGGATTCTCTGGCCTGAGAAAGGTATAAAAGGCAGTGTGCATGGCTGGTAATGGCCAACTTGGTAGTATAATTGAAAGGTTGTAGCTCTAATAGGTCCAATAAGGATGGAAAAGTTGGATGGCTATTGGTAATATCTGAGAGGAACGTGGGGGGATGGATTCCTGAAAACCTCTGAGTATATTCTTGTCTGGTATGATAGCATGAAGTTATGGTAGTTTGGGCCATAGGTTATCCTGTGTTGTTGAATGCCTGTAAAATATATAATTAATGGTGTGTGAGATGTTTTTAGTTTAAGGTGGCAAAAAATGAAGCAAAACCTAGGAGAAATGTTATGACACAGGTTGAGCTATGTCGTGTTCCAATGAGATTCTTTAAAGCCAGGTGAATAGGTGTTATGCATTCTACAAGTATGGGATGAAAGTGTTAGGTGGGATAGTGCATGCTATGCTGCATGAGTATGTCTAATCCATGATTTTGTCTCTGGAACGAAAGAGTGGCCGTGACTGTATACAAGGCTGTAGGAAGCGTATGATAAACGTGCCTGGAATATAAATGAGACAATTGTCGGCAAGGATGTATACCAACGCCTGGTACATGAAAGTAAAAGAAATGTGGTAAGTGGCCAACCAAGTGAGTTCTCCAGCAATACCATGATCGTATGGATGATGAGTGGCATTTGTTGATGATATGACATGTGCTCAGTTGTCTGAGTAACAACGGATTGATGACCCTGACCATGATTTACCCCATGCCACAGCAGCTGCTTTTAGCGGGAAAAGGATTGCCCATTTTATGCCATGTAAGTGCCAGTTTGTAGGGTAGATGGTAGCCGTTTACTGTGTTGATGATATTGGTCTTACTTAACGAAGCTTCAACCCCTGCTTGAGTGATAGCTGCAAAGGTAGATCAATGGTGTGTATAGTAAGGAAACTCCTCGGAGGGTATGAGGGAGTTGAGACTTGGGGTAGCGAAGGTGTGTGGTGCCAATAAGTCTATGGTTAGTCTTGTTTAAGGGAAGATTCCCTTGTGACAATACCAATGTGTTTGTGTTTGGCGCCATGCTGTAAATGGTGGAGATTGGAAAACCCAAGTAAAAACCCCTCTGCAAATCTTGGCTATGAGTGTGTTTACAGCCGACGGTTCTGTTGTGCTGACTGTAAGTGAGGGCATACTGTATTCCTTGAGAGTTTATTTATGATACCTGTATGGGAGCCCTTTGAAGCTCCAGAGCCTCAGTAACTCTACTACAAGTCTGGAAGGGTGATGAGTCAGTAGTGTTGAAAATGCATTGGTGTGTACAGATGGAGAGTACGTTATTTGTAAGTTGTATTGGGACACATGGTTTGTCATGTGCCCTGAATGATTTGAACATATATGCAACAGTCTATATGCAATGCAACTACTAATACCAATTGTCTATGGTAGTTCAGAGGTGCTGGTACCTGGAGCCTGAGAGTGCTCACCCATTTGTTTGGGAGAAAATCCCTTCTGTATGGGTACCTGCACAAATAAGCATCTCTACATATTCCAAATGCCAACACAACCAAGGGATGGTCAGTTCCCGATTTACCTAGAATCCCTGGGTCTGACCATCATAGATACATCATCATACATATATATGCCTTGTTTCCACAATGTGCCGGGATCATATGTGCAGGGTTAACGTCTTGTACCAAGTAACCGAGTTTCGGTTGGTGCTGGTTGTACAGTAGCGTGAGGCCCAGCCTTGTGAGGGCTGTGACTGACTCGAAATTGCCAGTCTGTCGTAAATTTTTTGGCTCATGAGTTTATGAGTGAGGCTAGCATGGCCTGGGTGTCACCTGAGTTGGTGTTGCTGGGCCTTCCCCTGCCTCCGTGTTGTCCATTGATGTATGTAGGAGTTTGAATAACTCTGCTTTCCTTGCTGTGGCAGGGTAGGGTATTTGTCGCCTCCTTAGGTCGGAGCCACATCTCCTCTGCTTGAAGGTGTATCACTTCTAGTCGGGGTGCCAGGAAGAGGTGATTCTTCACCATCTTTTTGAGAAATACTTAAATAACAATAAAGATTGCAATTATTATTTGTACCCAGGGGTCTTGTACTGGCTTGCCAGCTAAGCCGTAAGGCGAAACGATTAGGCTTGGTGTTTTTTGGTGACTGGTGAGGGGATTTCTTTGTGGCCACCGAACGTTGTGGCAGGATGTTGGCCTCTCGGTGACAGTAACCAGAAAAATAGGAAGGGGAGTGACAGGTGAGGCCCTCTCTATGATACAATGCGAGGTGGCTAGCTCACGAGTGGCCCGAGGGGTGTATGCCTCCGAGTGTGAGGCGGGGTGTTGGCCTCGCGGGACCACTAACCGAAGCGTAAAGCAGAGAAACAGGGGGTAATACCTATTGGGCCATGGAACCCTAATTGCCAGTACATTACTACTATTCCAGGGAAGGTAAGAGATGAAGGTGTATCACTTCTAGCCGTGGTGCTAGGAAGAGGTGATTCTTTACCATCTTTTTGAGAAATACTTAAATAACAATAAAGATTGCAATTATATATTTGTACCCAGGGGGTCTTGTACCGACATGCTAGCTAAGCCGTAAGGCAAAACGATTAGGCTTGGTGTTTTTTGGTGACTGGTGAGGCCCTGCTAGTTGCCAAGTGGCTTGAGAGGCTCTATCTATGCTTGGCGCGAGGGGATTTTGTGTGGCCACCGAACGTTGTGGCAGGATGTTGGCCTCTCGGTGACAGTAACCAGAAAAATAGGAAGGGGCGTGACAAGTGAGGCCCTCTCTATGATACAATGCGAGGCGGCTAGCTCACGAGTGGCCCGAGGGGTGTATGCTTCCGAGTGTGAGGCGGGGTGTTGGCCTCGCGGGACCACTAACCGAAGCATAATGCAGAGAAAAAGGGGGTAATACCTATTGGGCCCTAGAACCCTAATTGCCGGTACACTATTACTATTCCAGGGAAGGTAAGAGATGGATAACTACGTGAGCAGGTGTACGTACCTGGTAGTTGGTATTGAACCTGACAATCCTTATAGGTTTTTAGTAGTAACTGTAACCTGAATGGATAAAATCGTATGGCATAAGGAAATATGGCATAGACCAAGCTTATCTTAAAACATACAGTATATGTGAAAGTAAAGTGCCGTGATATGTAAATATTAAACATCATATCCATACTGGTTAAATATGTATCAATCTTAACCCATTAAGTGCCGTATGTATGTGAACCATAGTACCAGTTACTTATATACAGATGCGTGTGCTACTGTGTAATAATGTGTATTTATAACAGATATTGATATACTGCTTGCTATGTGAATTGTTGTATGCCTTATTGAATGGCAAGTGAACATGGAGTTGCAAAATGCAAGTGCACTGGAGATCTACCGAGTGCCCTATAGGTGGCAGTGTAGTTGATACTGATTGGTATGTGAAATGTTGTTTGTCTGTTGACCTATAGGGGTCAGTGTTTTGGTGTTTGTAAAACCCCATGAAAATTGTCAATGTACTTGACAGACCTGTAGGTGGCAGTGTTGATAGAACCACTGTTAGTCTTAATGTGAAATGTAAATTATTGTGAATTAAACCTGAAGTTGAGCCCGTGTTGGAGTTAATTTATGGTTTATGGTTATGTTTAAAACAATCTTATGTGTAATTTATATTGGCTGGTAATTGTATATGACATGTGAAGACCGTTTTGCTGTTGACCAGTAGGGGTCAGAAATGCTGATTGTATGGTAAAATACCCTTTAACCCCTGAAGGATACATGACATGTGTGACATATCATTTATTCCAGAGTTTGGTCCTTAAGGGGTTAATCCAAATGCAAGGTTAACGTGAGATTTTGAGAGTGACCTGTAGGGGTCAGCGTGGTTTATGTGAAACATTGTTTGTGAGCTATGCTTGTGTATTATTATTATTATTATTGCCATTTATATAGCGCCAACAGATTCCGTAGCACTTTACAATATTATGAAAAGGGATTTAACTATAAATAGGACAATTACAAATAAACTTACAGGAACAATAGGTTGAAGAGGACCCTGCTCAATCGAGCTTACATTCTATAGGAGGTGGGGGGTAAAACACATTAGGACAGGAATGTGCAATCAAATAAGGTGGGCTGCCCTTTAGGAGAGGGCAAGAGACGGGTATGTGAGGTAGGGGTTAGTCTTGGAGGCCATAAGCTTTCCTAAAGAGATGGGTTTTAAGGCACTTCTTAAAAGACGCAAGACTAGGGGATAGTCGGATGGCGGTAGGCAGGCTATTCCATAGGAAGGGAGCCGCCCGCGAGAAGTCCTGCAAGCGCGAGTTGGCCTACGGGTGCGGACAACTGACAGGAGGTGGTCACGGGCAGAGCGGAGAGACCGAGAAGGGACATACCTGTGGATCAGTGAGGAGATATAAGAGGGGCTAGAGTTGTTCAGTGCTTTATAGGTGTGAGTTAGTGCCTTGAATTGACTCCTATAGCACACAGGAAGCCAATGTAAGGACTGGCAGAGGGGTGAGGTGAGAGAGAACCGACTAGAGAGGAAAATCAGTCTAGCAGCAGCATTCATTACAGACTGTAGGGGTGCAGTACGGCTTTTGGGAAGACCAAGCAGGAGAGAGTTACAATAATCCATGCGTGAAATTATTAGAGCATGGACAAGCTCCTTGGTAGTATCTGGTGCAAGAAAGGGGCGGATGCGGGCTATGTTTTTAAGATGGAATCTACAGGATTTGGCAACATGCTGGATGTGAGGCTCAAAGGTGAGACCAGGGTCAAGTATGACGCCAAGACAGCGCGCTTGCAAGGATGGGCTGATCTTGGTACCACAAACTTGAAGGGAGAGCGAGAGAGGAGGATCAGTATTAGGAGGAGGAAAGACAAGGAGCTCAGTTTTTGAGAGATTGAGTTTCAGAAAGCGGGAGGACATCCAGTCAGAGATGGAAGAAAGGCAAGCAGTGACACGTTGCAGGACAGCAGGGAGAGGTCCGGGGAGGAGAGATATAGCTGGGTGTCATCAGCGTACAGGTGGTAGTGGAAACCAAATGAGGTAATAAGTTTGCCAAGAGAGGCAGTGTAAAGAGAAAATAGAAGGGGACCAAGGACGGAGCCTTGGGGACTCCAACCGAGACAGGGCGAGGGGAGGAGGTATCATTAGAAAAAGAGACACTGAATGAGCGTTGGGAGAGATAAGAGGAAAACCACGAGAGGACAGAGTCACAGAGACCAAGCGATTGCAGAGTTTGAAGAAGGAGAGCATGATCAACGGTGTCAAAGGCCGCCGTGAGGTCAAGAAGAATTAGTATGGAGTAGTGGCCTTTGGATTTTGCTGCGATTAGGTCGTTAGTAACTTTGATAAGGGCAGTCTCTGTAGAGTGGAGAGGGCGGAAGCCAGATTGAAGGGGGTCAAGGAGAGAGTTGGAATTGAGGAAATGAGACACACGGGTAAAGATGAGTCTTTCCAGAAGCTTTGAGGAAAAGGGAGCAGGGATATGGGACGGTAGTTAGAGGGGGTGGATGGGTCAAGGGATGGTTTTTTTAGTATAGGTACTAAAGTGGCATGTTTAAGGTCAGCAGGGACGATGCCAGAAGAGAGCGAGCAGTTGAAGATGTGTGTTAGAGAAGGCACGAGACAAGTGGAGAGAGATCTGATAAGGTGAGATGGGACAGGATCGAGCGGGCAAGTGGTGGGGCGAGAGGAGCAAAGAAGAGCAGCCACCTCTTGGTCAGTGGCTGGGGAGAATGTCTGAAGGGTAGGAAAGGCATGATCAATGTGTGATTGAGAAACAGAAAGGCAAGGAGGGGAGAATTCTTTCCTTAGCTTTTCAATTTTGTCAGTGAAGTAACATGCAAAGTTGTCAGCAGTAAGGTTGGTTTGGGGGGTGGCCACAGCGGGGCGAAGAAGAGAATTAAAGGTGTCAAAGAGACGCCTGGGGTTGCGGGAACATGAACTAATGAGAGAGGAAAAATAGGACTGTTTGGCAAGGGCAAGGGCTGCACTGTATGAACACAGTATGAATCTATAATGGAGAAAGTCTGACTGGGTGCGAGACTTCCTCCAGGAGCGTTCAGCACACCGGGAGCATCTTTGCAGGTAGCGCGTTGATTTAGTATGCCACGGTTGGGGGCGGGTCCTCCTTGAGGTGCTTGTTTGGAGTGGCGCTGCAGTGTTCAAGGCAGATGTAAGAGTAGAGTTATATATGGAGATGGCCAGTGAAGGACAGGATAGGGAAGGGATGGACAGCAGTTGTGGATCAATGTCAGCTGACAACTGTTGGAGATCAAGAGAATTAAGGTCCCTCCTGAGTTGAGGCTGGTTAGGCGGAGGTTGTTGGGTGAGGGGGTACGTGAGAGCAAACGATAAGAGGTGGTGATCAGAGAGAGGATAGGGAGTGTTGCAGATATTAGATACCGTACATGCATAAGTGAAGATTAGGTCGAGGGTATTGCCAGCAACATGGGTGGGTGAATTTGCCCACTGTGTGTAGTACAATAGTAAATGCATGAACTAGTACCCGTTTGGTAGAAAATTGCACGAACCGTGAGCCTGGTATGTCAGGGAAACAAAACGAAACGAGCAGTGAGATTCGAAATGCACGCACAGAATTGCCTGGTATGTTTAGGCAATTGAAACAGAATGTGTTCCCGTTTGGGAGTATGCTAATGCTGGAAATGAGCCAGTGACAGATATAAACAAGTGAGTTTAAACGAATGATATGCATGAACATGCAATGGTTTTAGAACAGACTTAGACAAAATGCAGCCGTAAAGTGAGGACCTGACCCTGTGCATGGTGCCGTGGGACTGATGCCTGGCGTAACGGGTAGGTCGACTTACGGTTTGTGAGTCACTTGGACACCATCCACAGCGATAGATTGAAGAAAGAAGGTGGTAGGCCGGAAAAGCCTGTGGCTGAATTCCTGACACAGCTCAGCTTAGAAAACCTCATGGAGTAATCAGGTAAAATGGCGTCTGGATGACCCGGAAGTGAAAATCATTCTGATGCTGACCTCAAGCGATATGAGTCAGGTAAGGGGTGTCCCTTATATAGGGGAGTGAATTAATTTAAGCCCCTCCCACAAATACAGGCCAAATGGCCTTAAAACATATATATATACATACCTCCACCCACACAAAAAAAATCCCTCATAGTCCCGTATTAAAAACAATCTAGTGATTGGGTCTCTGTCAATGTGTGCTGGAAACACTGAAATGCACTTCGGCTGTTTTTGTTTGTAATATGACACTATGAGGATTTATTTGTCTCAGATCAAGCACTTTAATATATGTTATTATAATCCTGTGGTGGTAAAGCAGATCATGGAGTTTGTTGAGCTAAGTTAGTGATCTAGGTAAATCCAAGTGTAGATGATTGCAGGCAGGGTGTCTCCCAATTCCAACATTCTAGCTGTATATTGGAGATGGTATAGGCAGATTGCCCCACATCTCTGGTGTCTAAGCAGGTTGGGTGTAACTGTGCATAGGGTAACATGGGACATGTAAAGTTATCCTTGCTATTTGAACTATTCATTTGAGATCTGTTTTAGCAAAGAATATGTAGGTTTCACTAGGAGTTAACATCATATATTGCCTAAACAAAATACTGTATGGTTACATTTTAGGATGCCACTAGTGTGACATAGTAATTGACTGGAGGCTACAGCAGAATGCAGGACTAACTATTAGATGTCACTAATGCATTAAAACATCTACATTGAGTGAGACTGAGTGTATGTGGCCAATTGTATCTATCCAGACCGGACAGGTAGTGCTATTCTGCTGTTTTGTGATTGTTAGGATTGTGATATACTTAATTCTACAAGTTAATTGGGAGGGCTGTCTGAAGTTTGTGAATTGCACAAAACACTTAAAAACTTTTTTTGTTTTTATTTCATCTCAGTAAGATTTTCTATACAAAGTTCCTCTTTTTTATAGTAAAATAGTTTGTCCATTTTAATTCCTAGATTTTACTAGTATCATGACGTAAAGTCATGATTTTATTAAAGACACGGAGGCGAGTATTATGCATAACTCTTTCTTTATTTCCTCAGCAGCAAAGATAGAGGAATATAAATATTATCAAATTGAAAGCAAAAAACTGTATAAGTACACAGGCAACCAATAGCATAACATAGGAAGTGGCTATATAAGGCCTGTGTCTCCCACAATCCTCCTCTTTCTTGCGAAAACCGAGGACCAGCTAAGACGAAACGATATCCCACATGGTCAGAAACAGGAACGGAAGCGCTTCAACAACTTCAAGCTAAAAGAGAGAGAGAAATATGGTAATAACTAAACCCAAACTGTTTGCTTACCAGTCAGAACTGTTGGTCATTCATGAAACTGAAACGAAATCTGAAATTACAACATATGATTGACATCAAGCAGTTATATGCTTCAAACGAAAGTCAAGACAAAAAAGAGGACCAAAATGTAACATACCTGGAAAATCCAAAAAAAAAAAAAAGCGCATCTCCCTCGCAAACCCCCACACCGGGAGGGTGGGAGGGAATAATACTCGCCTCCGTGTCTTTAATAAAATCATGACTTTACGTCATGATACTAGTAAAATCTAGGAATTTTATTAAAGACACGGAGGCTCATATTATGCAAGTTCAAAGCTGTGCTACTATCTGAGATGCGATGTGTTCAATTGGTTTGAAATAGAAGTCTCGGAAGGTGGACTCACGAGACCAGTCTGCAGCTCGCATGATGTCCTCCAGACGGCAACCCACTAAAGATGCCTTCGAGGCCATGGCACCCCTCACGGAGTGAGGCGTAAAGGTAGAAGTGTCTATACCCGCTAGGGATAAAAGCCAACGAATCCAACGCGCTAGCGTCGGAGTCGACACCGGTTGATGAGGTGCCTTAAAGGAAATGAATAGGGGATGACGATCAGAAGAACGAAACGTTCTTGTAGCATCCATATAAGCCTTAAGACAATCCACCGGACAGAGTGCCGGGCACCCTGAGAACCTAGGGTACACGAAGGATTTGGATGCCGACTTAGTCCTCCTGGAGATGTTGAAAGTAACACCCTCAGGAGTAAACACGATGGCACCCCAATCCAGGGCCCTGACATCGGAGACTCTCTTACAAGAGATAAGACAAAGCAGCATAACCAGTTTGGATGACAGCTGTTTGAGAGTCAATGCTTGGTTAGGGTACCAAGCCGATAGGAACTGCAACATTATGTTGACGTCCCAAAAGGCCGAAAAACGCGACCGGGGTGGACGGGCGAGGCGAATACCTCTAATAAGGCGACATATAAAAGGATGCCTACCGACGGGTGTGCCTTCTAAACCATCGTGTCCGGCAGAAATGGCCGAGCGAAAAAGATTGATAGTCCTGTACGCCTTGCCCGAATCGAACAGGAACGTGAGAAATTCCATGATCAGATGGAGAGGGGCAGATACGGGATCCATTGCCCGTTCCATGCACCAACCCGACCAAGACTTCCATGCTGCTCGATAAGCTGATCGTGTGCCCGGGGCCCACGCGTTATCGAGGAGCAAGAGAGTTGTCTGTGGAACGTTAGGGACAATCCAACGTCCCCTGAAAGGAACCAAGCCACCAGGGGCAACTGGTGCCGCATCACCAGTTCGTGCGAGTTCCCATCCGGATCCAGGAGGAGATCCGGGAAGTTCGGTAACAACCGTGGGAAGTCTATCGACAACTCCATCAGTCGAGGGAACCACGGACGGGATCTCCACAGGGGAGTGATCAGAACCAGACAACAGTCGTGGCGAACCATTTTGGAGAGTGTGCGAGCA